ATGGCGCAATCTCAGTTCACTGTAACTTCCGCCCCCCAGGTTCAAGTGATTCTCATGCCTCAGCCTCCCAAGTAGCTGGGATTACAGGCATGGGCCACCACGCCCGGCTAATTTTGTAGTTTTAGTAGAGACAGGGTTTCTCCATGTTGGTCAGGCTGGTCTTGAACTCCTGACCTCAGGTGATCTGCCTGCCTTGGCCTCCCAGAGTGCTGGGAGTACAGGTGTGAGCCACTGCACCCAGCCAAAGTGCTAGTTCTCATACTTATTATTTTAATAACTGTGGCATTTAATAAATACTTGCTAAATGAAGGAATGTTAAGTCTATTCAATCCAAAGTGCATGTTCTTAAACATTATACTTAAATAACAATATTTACTGACACTTGCAAAATGAAGAGGATGTTAAAAGTATTATATACCTCTTCAAATTACCAAAACGAGTGTTTAAGATTCAACAAAAAAAAAATTTTTTTTTTTTTTTGAGACGGAGTCTCACTCTGTCACCCAGGCTGGAGTGCAGTGGCGCAGTCTCGGCTCACTACAAGCTCTGCCTCCCAGGTTCACGCCATTCTCCTGCCTCAGCCTCCCGAGTAGCTGGGACTACAGGCGCACGCCACCACACCTGGCTAATTTTTTTGTATTTTTAGTAGAGACGGGGTTTCACCATGTTAGCCAGGATGGTCTTTATCTCCTGACCTCGTGATCCGCCCGCCTTGGCCTCCCAAAGTGCTGGGATTACAGGCGTGAGCCATAATGCCTGGCCAGATTCAATAAAAATTACTTTGCCTTATCAACTCAATTTCTAAAATTTTTCTGATATTTCTGTTATATTTCCCTGACTGGTTTCTTTTACCTCAGAAAGTAACTTTTCTAAACCTTCATAGCTCACAAGTCCAAACTCTACATCTTTCCTGCTCATTGATGTTTCAATTTCACCAGGTAAAAAGAAGTAACTAAGAACTCCCTCAAAATCCCTCAACCCCCTCCACCTTACCTACAAACCGCTCAGCAAACTGTCCTACTATCTTACAGGAAAAGGAAACCTTCTTTTTAGCTATAGCTGAAATAATGCTATTTTAGAATAAGTGTGTTCCAAGTATTGCATGCAATACTCATAATAAAAATTACCATTGTTTATTTGACAGTAAAATTTAACCTGGCATCCTGTATTTTATCTGGAAGCCCTACATCTCCAAGTAGATAACTTTTCAATCTCCAAATCCCAGATTTTTATGTGCAAATGGCTCCTTGTGCAATTTACCACTTGAATATCCCACAAGCCCTTTAAACACAACAGACCCCAAACTGCACTTAGTACTTCCTCCAAAATCCTGTTCTAACCCCTCAGTAAATGGTATCACCGTAAACCCCAAAACCTGTAAGTATCCTTGGACTCCTCTTTGACCTTCACACCTCATAAACAATCTCTAAATTTGATCAATCCTACCTAACCATTTTTAAATCTATTCTCTTTTCCCACTTTATTATCAATACTCAACTATTAAACACACCACATTATCTCACCCCTCCATGACTTGGCTATTTTCTCTGCTATATTTTCTCTGTCTGAAACTTTTAGTCAGTTGTTATGATTCAATTGCTACCTGCTCTGTGAAGCCTTACTCTCCCTCTCAAATAGATTTAGGGCTCCTTCCCCTATGCTCCCAATGCACCTCACACAATTTTAAAGCAATTACATAAGACTGTGATTTTGTATTTTTTTTTTTTAGATGGAATTTTTCTCTGTTGCCCAGGTTGGAATGCAGTAGAGCAATCTCTGTTCACTGCAGCCTCCACCTCCTGGGTTCAAGTGATTCTCCTGCCTCAGCCTCCCAAGTGGCTGAGCTCACAGGCGCGTACCACCAGGACTGGCTAATTTTTTTGTATTTTTAGTAGAGATGGGGTTTCACCATGTTGGCCAGGCTGGTCTTGAACTCCTGACCTCAAGTGAGCCACCCACCTCGGCCTCCCAAAGTGCTGGGATTACAGGTATGAGCCACCATGCCTGGCCTTGATTTTGAAT